TAGACGTTGATATGGCCGCTTCAAAAAACCATAAGACATTCAAACAGAATCAAATTAAGACAACGCAGAAACAACGCCGGTGAGACACCAACGTCACAACGCATTTGCATTTCGTACAAAAAATGAAACGTTAAAATGTAGCAAAATTCCTTGGATACTGCAGTCACAGTAATAACAATGGCAACGCACTGTACATGGCAGAAGATTACTGTACCTCATCGCAGCATCATCCAGTTTAAAACGACTTAAGCTGAGATCAGATATTTTTACACAGGCAGATATAAAGTTGTTCATCACAGCAACCTTTTGCACTTAATACATATACAAACGCAGAAGCGACAATTCGCAACAGAAATGCGAATCGGGTTCAAAATTTAAACAGGCTTTCTTATATTCTGTGCAGTTTCCAAGGAAATATCCATGAGGACCAGGTGAAATCGTGCAGCCAGTTAAATGGCAACGAGAATACGCATAAATTGTTGACGACACAATGAGTGCAAACTCAAGTATCGGACTCGTGCTTCTTAAAGAACAGTTTGAATTGCGCCTCGAGACTAGCAGCCACCCATTGCAATGGTGGCATTGGAAGTTTCTTAGGTGATGGTGCTAAGGTGAATTTCGGACCTGCGTAGATGGGCGATATTCGCAGCCTTTCATTACAGTTCATTGCGGAACCATTACGTCGATTGTTCATCTGCGAATTCGCATTTTCTGGAGTCGCTCGAAAGCTTATTGAGCGAAACTGAACAGGCGATCTACTCTTTTGCACGAACAGAGTTCGGGCTTTTCTTCCTTTTGACTCCACAGGCGAAATACGCTGAGTTGGGTACGACGCATGAAGATTCGGAAGTAGTTGCACGCCTCCGCCACCTTGGCGTCCAACGCAATCCGCTGTCGGCTTAGGCATAAGAACAAGCCGATTAACTGGTTTTTCACGGCGCATCCGCAAAACGACCTGAACATAAACTGTTGCAGCATAAGCCAACAAAAACATGCGCCGACCAATACCATTTCAAAACTCAAATCTTTGCCTCAACGGCAATACTGAATAAAAATGCATCTTTATGCAAAGTTCAATAGCTTCCACATGATATCGTTGAACTGGTGGATTTCATAACAAATTCTTTCACTATCTCATCTTGATAGGACAGCGACAAAGGATTCTCAAAACGACGTACAGCTCAGCCCAAACAGTCTGACAGGATCACTCATTATGAGACAGGTTCGAGAAACACCACGCCAATTCAATGAGGCAACAACCACAAGCGTGGCGAGTCATGGTCAAATCCCCATGATAAAATCACCACTCAAACTATGGACATTATTAACCGAATGTAGGATTGTCACCAGCGAAAGCAGCAGCTCATCTGATAAAACGACAGCGTTCTAAGTATGCCGAGGTACTGGATCAGAGCCGTTACTTTGGAATAACGTTGCTAATGTAAGCACATAAACTTGAAGCAAGGACGCAAGAACTAAAAGAACTTAACAAAACCAAGCGAAACGTTGATGGACTCAGCAAAGTTCAAACGTTTATTTTACAGAGGATCAGAAAATGAAAGAATACGAAGAATAGAAAGAAAGAAAGAGGGTTGGAGCCTGTGCAAGGTCTCTCATAAAACTTAGCGACATCTCCCTCATGGTATTGCCGTCATCGAACATTATAATGGCTCAGTCGCGTCTTCACAGTAAATTAACGCACGGAGCCATTAAATTTTTACCCTTACTGACTTATGAAAAAACCGTTTACAATCAACTTTTTCTCACCGTCCAGTACATTGCATTCCTTAGAGAAATATGGCAAAACCAACAAAAACGGGCGAAAACAGCCCTAAATCGATTTCAAATTCCTGGGATGCCCTGAAGCTGCATTCATGAAGTTTGTGTACCGGGTGGGTGGAGATTGACATCAAGGTTTCCGCCAGTCAATAGGTGGCTTTAACCATATTTGCGACTCGATCAGGTATTTTGTCAGCTCCGATTTTTCTGATGAGAGAAATCATTTACGATCTCCTTGGTGTTCGGCAGTAGTACTTTTTCAGCCAGTTTTCTTACGAATTTGCAGTGAAATAAATTTTGTTACTAAATTATCGACTTTTCACAGGCAAAGACCCAAGTATGGCTCGAAAAGTCGTTAACCTCTAATAAAATCTATATGCCGAGCAATCCAGTAAGAAACATAAAAGACAAAGCGTATTTCATACAATATGGTAGATTTTTGAAAATTTTCCGACAGCAGCAAACAAAATGGCTTCTGCGCCAATTAATCGACTAATATTTTTGAGGGTTAGGGTTATATAAGCAATTTAAACAGCATCATGGATAAGAATTCTTAAAGGACCGAAACCACTTCCAGTACGAAAATTAGAATAGTACGGCGCAACTATAAACATGTAACGCACAAATGGTTTATCGATAAAAGTGGCTTCCGGATTCAAATTGCGCGACAGTCGCCAGTGGGTATTACCATAAATCTTACCTAGTGAAATACACCATAAAATGTCGTAGCCGTTAATTTTGCTAATAAACCATCATAGTACACTATTTTTGTGTTAAAAACCAGCTGAATATAAATATCTTACTTACGCAAGTTATATACCAATCAGGCTGAAGAGGATAGATTTGAAGTTCTTCCCCGTTAATAGGGCGCGAAATTCACATACACAGCTAAGCAGCTTGCTGCATGAAGAAATAACGCAGTCTCGTGACAGACGCTGTTGTCAAAAGTGAATCATGTTTGCACTTGCTAATCAATTTTCCTTAGATCAAGAATCTGTATCTGCAACAAAAAATCTTTCTGAGTTTATTTGATTGCGTGCTGCATCTTGCGCTTTGCGCTGATTAGTCAATTATCAGCTAGAATATGACGAATTTCAAATGCACAATTCATGCATCAGACATTATATTGTTTAACTCCACGTGCTTATATAGCCATAACAATGCGCATGTTGTCCCTACAAATCGCAGCTATTAACTTCCTTCATTTGTTTAACTGCGCCGAAGCACAGTTAGGTGAATTTCTTGCTGGCTGAAATTACAGATATTAGAAGCCGGCATCTATAATGCAAAGTAACGCCGTATCATATTGCGCCGCTGTCTTCTGATGGAACAGTACTCTAATAAAACGTCCATCAAAGGATTTGCATTATGATATCAACTCCATACAATGAAATATTAAACCAACAACATCATAGTGTAGCGATGCAATCTGTATAAATAGCCAGAAAACAGGTAAAAATGTATTAGTCTGCGAATTATTAGGGGGTTTCGTTTTAGTGTGGTCGAGCCAAAGCGTGAGAGATTAAGTCATGTTCTTTGATTGTTGCACTTCCAGCTGAGTTCGGCTTAATTCACTTAACATCTGGCTAACAATTAACACACGAAACAACGCAGATTTT